CCACACATCTATGGACAGCTAATCTTCGACAAAGGAGCTAAGAGCATACAATGGAGAAAGGAAAGTCTCTTCAATAAATGGTGCTGGGAAAACTGGACAGCCACATGCAAAAGAATGAAAGTAGACCATCTTCTTTTGCCATACACAAAAATTAACTCAAAATTGATCAAAGACTTGAAAGTAAGACCTGAAACTATAAAACTGGAAGAAAATATAGGCAGTACAGTCTCTGACATTGGTCATAGAGGGATCTTTTTGAATTCCATGTGTACTCGGACAAGAGGAACAAGAGGAAAAAATAAACAGGTGGGACTTCATCAGACTAAAGAGCTTCTGCAAGGCAAAGGAAACCAGAATCAAAATGAAAAGACAGCCCACCAGCTGGGAGAAAATATTTGCAAAGCATATATCCGACAAGTGGTTAATCTTCATATTATATAAAGAACTCACACAAGTGAACAACAAAAAAACAACCCTATTGAAAAATGGGCAGAGGATATGAACAGATATTTTTTCAAGGAAGATATACAGATGGCCAATAGGTACGTGAAAAGCTGTTCAACATCACTAATCATCAGGGGAATGCAAATCAAAACAACACTAAGATATCACCTTACACCCGTTAGAATGGCTATAATCTCCAAGACAAAAAATAACAAATGTTGGAGAGGTTGTGGAGAAAAGGGAACCCTCATTCACTACTGGTGGGAATGCAAACTGGTGCAGCCTCTATGGGAAACAGTGTGAAGATTCCTCAAAAAATTAAAAATAGAAATACCTTATGATCCGGCTATCCCACTACTGGGTATCTATCCAAAGAACATGAAATCAACAATCCGAAGAGGCTTATGCACCCCTATCTTTTTGTGTGTGAGGAAGATCAGCCCTGAGCTAACATCCGATGCCAATTTTCCTCTTTTTTTGCAGAGGAAGATTGGCCCTGGGCTAACATCCGTGCCCATCTTCTCTACTTTATATGGGACACCAGCACAGCATGGCTTGACAGAAAGCGGTACATCGGTGTGCACCCGGGATCCAAACCTGCGAACCCTGGGGCCGCTGAAGCGGAGCTCGCCCACTTAACCGTTTGCACCACTGGGCCAGCCCCACACCCCTATGTTCATTGCAGCATTATTCACTAAAGCCAAGAAGTGGAAGCAACCTAAGTGTCCCTCGACTGATGACTGGATAAAGAAGATGTGGTATACATATATACAATGGAATACTACTCCGTCATAAAAAAAGACAAAATCTTCCCATTTGCAACAACATGGATGGATCAGGAGGGTATTATGTTAAGTGAAATAAGCCAGACAGAGAAAGATAAACACTGCATGATTTCATTCATATGTGGAAGATAAACTAACACAGAGACAGAATAGTTTGGTGGTTACCGGGGGGAAGGGGGTTGGGCAGTGGGCACAAGGGGTGAAGGGATGTATTTATATGATGACTGACAATAATGTACAACTAAAAGTTCACAATGTTGTAAACTATTATGACATCAATAAAAAAATTTTTTTTAATGTTGCAGTAAAGAGAATTCTCAAAATTATTAACAGAAGGTGTCAACTTAAAAGCAAATTTCCCGGTCATTTTACCCTCAAAATGAGTTTTTTGGTAAGAGTCAAAAGAATTGCAATTCAGGATGTGCATGCTATGGTGAACCATAGGCAAATCCTGAAAACAAAGGAGGGGAAATTGCTTTTACAGAGTAAAAGGGGGAGTAGGCAGAGGCTGTTCTAAACAAAGTTCACTGAGCTGCAGCATTTCTCATTGGCTGGGCTGTTGCCAGGAGAAATCTTCCTTCACTAGTAAAGTAGTTTTACTTCCTGTGGAAGATGGAAGTGGACTTCTCTTCCTGGTTGATGTAATTGACAATGTATGATAGAGAGTGAGAGCTCTCCCTACAGGCCTTGCTGACTCCAATTTAGTTAAGGTTTCTTTTATTAATTTCCACAAAGGATACATTTTTGAAAGCTTCTATAAGAGAAACTGAGAAATATTGACCAAAGTGGGAGAATACTTGAATGAGGATGGTGGATATATTACATGGACTCAGCAGTTACTTCTGTGGATATTTTTTTAGCAAACCTCAGATACTTCATGCAAATACAATTAAGTATGTATTTTTTTAAAAGATAAACAGTATTTCATTAAGAACTAAAATATTTTTATCACACCAAGAATAATATAAAATTATCATCAAATATCTAATGATTTTTCCCTCTACACCGGTATTGCTCAATGTTTTCAAGAATGAAGAAAATTTCATAGTGGAGACAAAATCATCAGTGACTCTTGTAGTCAAAGGCTTAGATTAATTCTATCTTTTCTCAGGCTTCACTACTAAAATTTCTCTAAAGTCAACTTTTTTCACCATCCACTGATATTTCCCCAGAACCATGTCTGCCACCACCTTTGAAGCACTACATAGTTATTGTTAACACCTGTGGCATAATAAGAACTATATATTTGGTCTCTGCCCTTGGTTCCTGACACAGATCTCTTTAAACTGTGGGAATCTCCAGAGTAAAAAGTGTGTCTTTTTTGGTACTAATGAGAGGACAGGGCTGGGGGCCTCCTAGATAGCTCCAGGATGGGACTGGTCACTGTAAAGACCAAGGCCTGATTAGAGGGTTGGAACTTTCAGCCACACACACCCCTACCTTCAGGGAGGGGAGGGGCTGAAGGTTGAGATAATCACCAATGGCCAATAATTTAATCAATCATGCCTACATAATTAAACATCCAAAAAAAGAGAAGAAAGGAAAAAAGCTAAACTAGGGGCCGGCCCTGTAGCATAGCAGTTAAGTGCTTGTGCTGCGCCGCTGGTGGCCTGGATTCGGATCCCGGGTGCACACCAACGCACCACTTGTCAGGCCATGCTGTGGCGGCATCCCACATAAAGTGGAGGAAGATGGGCACGGATGTTATCTCAGGGCCAGTCTTCCTCAGCAAAAAGACAAGGATTGGCATGGATGTTAGCTCAGGGCTGATCTTCCTCACACAAAAAAAAAGCTAAACTAGGAGGTTCTGAGAACTTCTGGGTTGTGAACACATCTACCTACTGAGGAGGGTGGTGCACCCCAATTCCATGTGACAGAAGCTCCTGCTCTAGGAAAACTTCTGGACTTCACCCCATCTACCTCTTCATCTGCCCGATCATCTGTATCATTATAATAAACCAGTGTTAGTAAGTAAAGTATTTCCCTGAGTTCTGTGAGCTATGATAACAAATTATCAAAACTGAGGAGAGGCTCCTGGGAACTCCTGACTTGTAGCCAAGTTGCATGGGAGTGTGGGTAAGCTAAGGTAGTAGTTACTAATGGTGTCTAAAGTGGGGGGCAGTCTTGTGGGACCGAGCACTTAATCGATGGCATTTACACTAATTTCAGGTAGTTAGTGTCAGAATTAAGTTAAATTGTAGGACACCCAGTTGGTGTCCACAGAGAATTAGGGAATTGCTTGGCTTGGAAACACACACATTTGGTGTCAAAAGTGTTCTGGCCTAGTGGGTGTTGTAAAAGAAAAACAAAAACAAAAAACATTTAATAGGGGGCCGGCCCGGTGGTGTAAGCGGTTAAGTGCACGCGCTCTGCTGCGGCGACCCGGGATTTGCCGGTTGGGAAACCGGGCGCGCACCAACGCACTGCCTTGGCAAGCCATGCTGTGGCGGCATCCCATATAAAGTGGAGGAAGATGGACACGGATATTAGCCTAGGGCCAGTCTTCCTCAGCAAAAAAACAAACAAACAAACAAAAAAAAAAGGTGGAGGATTGGCGGATGTTAGCACAGGGCTGATCTCCTCACCAAAAAAAAAAAAAAAAAGACGTTTAATAGCTTCCTGGAATTTGTACTTTATAACTGTTTTTCTGAGATAATATTAATTGCAATTACAAGAGAAATTATAACCACTTCCCAGCGATGAAAAGAAATCATAGATTTAAGATATTCCCAATATCTTGGCGTGGACAGTATCCTTTGCATACATGCTCCACCTTTGAACATTGCAGCCCTTGTCCTGTACGAAAAAAGCATTTGTTTCATTGTTCTTTTTGAGACTGATGTCAGACTCCTTACGAAATTGAATATATGTCAGGATAGCAAGAAAGAGATATTAAATAGATAAAAGTGTTGGTCAATTAATTGGACACAATAATTGACTATACAGATAGGAGAGATATTTTCTGTGGGAACCAGAGAGATCCACCTTTGTACTCCTGCTTCAGGGTGGCCTCACTTCTCTGTCTTCCCTGTCATGGCCCTGTCTGGAGTACTTTTTCCCTTGTCCCTGACCAAACATACACAGACCAATAAAACCGTCTCTAACGCTTCGGTGTAAATACATTGGAATTTCAAGAAGATAATGCTTATGTTTCTCTTCCAGTGGATACATTTTGTGTCTAAATGACTCTATGAAACAATATGTTCATTTGAATCTGTAGCCTTTTGGAACAACTGAGGTAATATTCTTAGCTTCTGGGACCATGCTGACCTTCAAAGAGTCTGAGATAGTATGTCTCCAAATACTTGTGTGATCCGCTGCTGACACCACTCCCCAGAAATCTGATATGGCCCCTTTAAGAACTCCCTCGGCGGAGCTTGACATCTCCTGGAAGCCTGGTGTGGAGCACCCTCTAGCGGCCTCGGGATCTGTGCAACTACATTACCCAGAATGCTCTGTGACGAAAGACTGCGTCGCTGAGACAATGAAGGCTCAGATAATAGGGGTTTCCGTTTGAGCACAGAACGTCGGGGCGGGATTTCCGGCGTCCTGTGTCGGCGGTCATTTTGCCCGCTTTCAGCTGGGTTCGCTTCAGGTTCCGGAACGGTGGGTTCGACTTGAGGTGACGGGACCCAGACGGCGCGATAGGAGGCGCTGTCCGCGCTGCGCAGGGCGGGTCTGAGGCTCGGCGACGCCGCCCGGGGGACCCGCGCCACCGACGTGCCCGGGTGTCCTCCTCTCCCGCCGCTCCCGGCCCCGCTCTGCCCCCAGTGTCCCATGGCGGCGGCCGCGCGGAGGGAGCCGGCTCAGGTCAGTGCTCGTGCTCCGCGCCCTCCCCGCCCTCAGCCCAGCCCTAGAGCCCCGAGTGCGGGCGCCGCTCACGGGCCTGCAGCCCAGGCCCCGGTGTCCGGGACGGGGAGGCGCTCGTGGGGCCTGTTTCTGAGAGCCGGGGTGACGGGTGTGGGAGAGGGTCCTAGGGGAGGGCGACTGAGCTCGGAGGAGTCGGGGACCTGGGGTCCGTGTTCTGTCTGCAGTGAACAGAGTGTGAGGAGGAGTGTTGCCTGGACTGGAAGCTGAGGGGCTGTTCCTTCAATCCGAGGGCCCTGGTAGCCGTGGAGGGTTGTAAACGGAAGAGGGACGCAGCGTGCGTTAGAGTTTAGAAAGTTTTCCTAAAGTTGCTCAGAGAGAGAACAGAGCGGAATGGGGATGATGAGGACAGTGAGGCACAGGAGGTTGAGTCCTCGTCCAAGGTCACAAAGCTGGTAAGAGGCAGCTCTGAGGACTGAGGCACAGAGGTTAGACAGCCAGCTTGAGGTTACCTGGCTTCAGGGCCTAGCTGAGGTACAGGCAGGCACGAGCCCTTCCAACCCCACCATGGAGAGATTCCTTTAAGGCCTGCCTCTTCATACAGGTTTCCATGGCTGCAGAAGCGCTTAGGAAACCCCACCCAGAAGTGGAGGGTGTCTCAGACCCTCACTGGCCCCGACCTCCTCCCACGTGTTCTCTGGATTGTTTTTTCCTAAGTGCCCTTCCCCCTGACCTATGGTTTGGGAACCTTGGAGACACCCCAAGCCTAGAGTTGAAGTTCACATCAGGCTTTATATAAAAGTGTTCTTGTTTGCGGTGACCAATGTAAAAAAGTGTGGGGGCTTATACCAGGAACTGGTACCAAGATGCGCAGATGTTCAGAGGTATAACTGAGCTGGAAGTGTACAGGAAACCACAGGTCTCCTTTCTTTCTTTTTTTTGTGAGGAAGATCAGCACTGAGCTAACATCCATGCCAATCCTCCTCATTTTGCTGAGGAAGACTGAGCTAACATCCGTGTCCATCTTCCTCCACTGTGTGTGGAGGCCTGACAGGCGATGCTTCGGTGCGCGCCCAGGATCCGAACCCAGGCCGCCAGCAGCAGAGCGTGTGCACTTAACCGCTACGCCAAGGCGCCAGCCCCCAGGTCTCCTTTCTTTCAAGTGGGAAAAAAACAGCAGGGGTGCAGGAGTCAGGACTGGAATGGCTGCCTGAGAAGTTGGATGTCTATTTTGGAGGTTTGGATCAGAAGAGGTGATCTTAAAAGGTCTTACAAGCCTTTGTCTGGCTGCAGAGTGGCTGCATACTATGGGGATGAGGGAAGAGAAAGTAAGATCAGGGTAGAGGGTACTATTAACGCTAGGTAAGGATTAACGGACCAGAATGGTGGCTTAGGCAAAGTGGTTGGATTCTAGATGCATGTTTTAAAAAGGGGCAACTAGATTTTCTAATGTGGTGGGAGAGGGAATGAAACACAGGATTCGGGGATGACCCCTGGGTGTTAGCACCTGTAGGAATGGAAGCTCTGTCATCCAAGATAGGGAAGATTGTAGTAGGAGTAATATTCATTAGGGATTTCAAGAGCTCTATTTTGGCCATGTTAAGAGTCTGAGGTGTTTCTGAGACCACTGAGTGGAGGCATGAATTGGGCAGCTGGACACACAGGTCTGGAAATCTGGGGAGGATTCCCGATGGAAACATCCAAAATGTGGGAACTGTGTGGACCCAGGTGAGTGAGTTTTGGGTCATATTTAGGAGGGTTAATTTTCAGGTTATGGTGGTAAAGCTATTAGGGGGCCAGGAAGGGGAGGGTGGGGGCTGTGGACTGGATCTCTTGCTTGAGTACCTGGGTAATGGTTTTGGGCAGCACAACACATGTGAGGCAATTAGGTGGCCATGAAGGGAGGTTGTGTTGGGGACAGGATAGTCTGACAGGTGATGAGAGCTTCCAAGGGAAGAATGGACGTGAGATGAATACAGAGGCCTAGGAGTGATTGAGGCAAGATGACACTTAGGCCTGAGCTGATGCTTGTTCTCCATGCTGTACATTCACCAGAATTGTGTGGCAGTTTTGATGGGGCCTGGGGTGTTTCATTCATTCTTGAGGATAAGGTCAGGGGAACATATGATTATCGTGAGTGTCACTAGGCCTGAGGTGGGCAAGCAATGGGGCTGGGCTTTGAAGGAGGTTAGGGGACCAGAGGAAGTTCTGACTGCTGAAGGATAGCAAATGTAGCACAGAAGTAGAAGAGGGCCATGGGTATCTGAGATCCACGCATGATTCTGTGTGGCTAAGTCCGAGGCAAGGAACAAAGCCAGACAGGGAGGCCTTTGTAGAAGTGTTTGGGGGCTGCTACTACTTGTGGGCACAATGGAAAGTCTGTGGTAACACTGGACCCTGTTTGAATTTGCCAAGCATACTTCAGATGCTGTCTGCCAAGTTGTAGCGTAAAGCCTAAAATTAAGTCTCAATATTGTGCTCCCTTGACATCTGGTGAAACCCTGAGGGCCTGAAATGGCCTGAGTGCAGGTTCCCCTTCCCACTCTGCTCCTGTGGATAAGGTCTACTAGCCAAACAATTCTTTTTATCAAGGAGACCAAACGCAGTTCCTCCTTATCCCTTTGTATTAAGTTTCAGTTCTTTATCAGCCCATGGAGTTATTCAAACCAACCAATTGCATCCTCCCACTGGAACCTAGGGGCATCCCACCCTCTTGATAATACAAAGCTTGCGTCCCACAGTCCTTGGTTTTTCACTCTTTTCCAGAGTACAGCCTCCATGTAGCCCTATGCAGTGTGTGGTGTCCTCCTCTTTCAGGCTGGGAATGTATATGATTGATTAAACTGCTAGCTATGGCATATGTCCAGTATCAGGTGTCATATGTTTGGCCGTCCCCATAACCCTCGGGCAGAATCCCACCCTCACCAGTGGGTGGGATGGGGAGGATGTGATTAAATTACTGTAACACGTGGGGAGGCCAGGGAAAGGCCTAGGGTGTGGGGCAGTGAGATGGTGGTCGCCATGGGCATGTGGCTGTGGTATCCAGAGATGTGATGGATGTGCATTCTAAAGAATGATGTGGAGAGGGAGTATGTCTGATGGCCCCAGGGTCCTAGTATTGACACTTACGTGACCTTGGCCATACCAGGAGAATTGCCTGGTGGGAGGTGGTAGAATTCTCTGTGCCAGACCCACAGCCTAAATATCTGTTTGTCCACCTGCCTCTTGTTACTGATGGCTGGACCTCATGACCAGTGAGTTCATGAGGAGACAACAGTGCCATTGGCATCAGGGCCTGATTTTTCCTCTGAGTTGTGGAGCTTGGGAGGAGAATGGGCATGGGCCACATATATGGGGGAAGGGATTGTAGGTCTCTGTAAGTCCCAAGGGATTGTTTGTGGTTTCATCTGTGCCTCTTGTGACAGGGCACTGTGACTTTTGAAGATGTGGCCGTGTACTTCTCCTGGGAGGAATGGAATCTCCTTGGTGAGGCTCAGAGATGCCTGTACCGTGAAGTGATGCTGGAGAACTTGGCACTTATAACCTCCCTTGGTAAGACCTTCAAACCTTTCCCCACATTCTGAGCTAGTCTCTGCCCTTTCCTTTTCCCCAGAGACAAATCTGTCCTTCTCACTCAGGACCATGAGCACTGCTTCCTTCCCCAGTTCCCTGGGTAGGTGCTTTGGTTGGTTGGACTGAGGTGTGTGCACCACCCTCTTCCTGAACATGCCTGACACCTCCTACCCCTGAGCCTCATACAGAAGGATCCAGGGTCAATCGTGTTGGAGTCACCATTTATGTGTGTGTTAGGAAGATTAGCCCTGAGCTAACATCTGTTGCCAATCTTCCTCTTTTTTTTTGGCTTGAGGAAGATTAGCCGTGAACTAACATCTGTGCCAGTCTTCCTCTATTTTGGGTTGCTGCCTCAGCATGGCTGAGGAGTGGTGTAGGTCTGCACCTGGGATCCGTACCCACGGACCCGGGCTGCCAAAGCGGAGTGCGCCGAACTTAACCACTATGCCATGGGGCCGGCCCCCTCAGTCACCATTATGTATCCCACCTTGCTTGCCATCTCCTTAACAGGATAAATTTGTCCAGATCCAAAGCAACTCTGTGCCCAAGATTTTACTTCATTCTTCTTGCTGACATTTCCTCATGCCTGCCTGTGCCAGGAATTGTTGTCATTTACATTGTTGCTGCTTACGTGGACCATGGGCTGTTCTTGCAGGATGCTCCTCAGAAGTTTTCTTTCCTGTGGGCTATCATGTGCTGAGTTATTTTTCACCACTGCTGGCTGCTCATCTCTCCTGTCTTTCCCTTAGTACTTGCATCATGTGGGTGCCATGTAGTTGCTCATCTTGGGGGTAGGATGGAGAGCCCTTGGTGGTTCACAGGATGGCTGTGAATCCATCCCCAGGAAGGTGCACTCAGAGGAGCCTGGTCCTGAGGAGTGGCACCCTGGGGGAAGGCATGACGTCAGGGTTGTGTTGAAGTCATACCAGAAACCTATTCTGTATGACTCTTATTTTGGTTCCAAAGCCAGTGGCTACATCCCATTTCTGCCTTTCTGTCCCCATTCTTGACACTTTGCCAACCTGTTAATTCTTCTACATGTCACTTCTCACGTCCAGCCAGTGGGTTAATCCTCACATCTCTACTCCACAGCTCACCCTTTATTCTCAGTGCTCCATCTGCTCTGCAACATTGGCCTCTACATATTGTGTCATAATGTGCATATTTAAACAGTTATTGAACATTACCTGCTCTATTGCGGTCAGATATTCTTGAACCTGGACATACCCTTCTACACAGCACTCATGAGTCAGCTGCAGACAAGATCCTGCTGAATGTTTCCACATGAATGAATAGTAGCCCCTGCCCTCCACGTATGATACCTCCCCCATTCTGTGCTCTTTATAGCCTATACTTTTCTACCCAGCATTCAGGTGTTAGCCACCAGCAGACAAGTCTTGCTAAAATTTCTTTACAGAGGAATGAGTTGTAGGCTCTGTCTCTTCTCCCTCGGTTGCGCTGCATGTGTCCTTCACTTCATAAGGCCTCCCACATTTTGCCATCTTTATAGCCCAGTACTGCTCAGTAATCCTCAACCTGAACCCAGCTCCATGCTTCTGCAGGCAATCCCATGGACTCATTCCTGGTTGTATCAGGCACACACTTGTGTATGGGCTGCCCCCTCCCACCAACGTGAACATGCACTTGACCAGTATTTCTTTTCTTTTAGGTTGTTGGTGTGGAGCAGAGGATGAGGCACCTGAGCAGAGTGTTTCTGTAGAAAGAATGTCACAGGTCAGGTTTTCTAAGGCAGGTCTGTCTTCCCAGAGGGCCCACCCAAGTAAGATGTGTAGCCCAGTCTTGAAAGACATTTTGTGCTTGTCTGAGCACCTGGGAACATGTCGTGGACAGAAGTTGTGCAGGTTTGGGCCATGTGGGAAGCAATTATATTTCAGTGCAAACCTCCATCAGCACCAAAAGCGGGACATTGGAGAGAAACCCTTTGGAATCAATGTGAGCAGAGCTTCGTTTGTGAATGATTGCAAATTCCATGTGTCTGGGAATCACTTTACCTGCAGGGAGGTTGGGAAGGGCTCCCTGGCCTTGTCAGGACACTTCCAGGTACAAACCACTCACACTGAAGAAAAGTCAAACACTGGAACTGAGTGTGGGGCAGCCTTTCATAGGCAAAAATCTCATTACAGCTCTGGAGAATGCATGAAAGCTTTGATGTGCGAACACACACTTGTTCAGCACCAGAGAGTCCTGACTAGAGAAAGATGTTACATGTGCAGTGAATGTGGGAAATCGTTTAGCCAAAGCTACAGCCTCATTAGACACTGGAGAGTTCATTCGGGAGAAAGGCCTTATGAGTGCAGGGAATGTGGGAAATCCTTTAGCAAAAGCTATACCCTCAATAATCACCAGAGAGTTCACACTGGAGAAAGGCCTTATGAATGTGGGAAATGTGGGAAAACCTTTACCCATAGCTCTAACCTCATGAAACACCAGAGGGTTCACACTGCAGAAAGGCCTTATGAATGCAAGGAATGTGGGAAATCTTTTACCTACAGGTCTATTCTCTTGGAACACCAGAGAGTTCACACTGGAGAAAGGCCTTATGAGTGCAGCGAATGTGGGAAATCATTTAGCCAAAGGTCCCACCTCAATAACCATGGGAGAATTCACACTGGAGAAAGGCCATATGAATGCTGTGAATGTGAGAAATCCTTTAGCCATAGCTCTAGCCTCATTAAGCACCAAATAGTTCATACTGGAGAAAGGCCTTTTGAGTGTGGGGAATGTGGAAAATCCTTTTACCAAAATTCTGGCCTCATTCAACACCAGAGAGTTCACACTGGAGTAAGGCCTTATGAGTGTGATGAATGTGGAAAATTATTTAGTAACAAGTCCAACCTCAATAAACATTGGAGAGTTCATACTGGAGAAAGGCCTTATGAGTGTAGTGAATGTGGGAAGTCTTTTAGCCAAAGCTCCAGTCTCATTCAACACCAGAAAGTACACACAAGGTAAAGACCTTATGAGTCATCCTATAAACTGAACGTTTATGTTCCCCAAAAGTCATATGTTGAACCCTATCCTCATCAGGATAGTATTAGGTACCACATTAGTGGTAGTATTAGGAAGTGAGGTCTTTGGGAGGTAGTTAGGATTAGAATGGGTCATAGAGTGGAGCCCTCATGGATGGGATCAGTGTCCTTGTAAGAGTCGTGAGAGAGCTCGCTTCCTTTATCTGCCATGTGAGGACCCTTTGAGAAGATTGTCATCTGTGAATCAGGAAGTAGATCCTCATCGGATGCAGATGTCATCTGTGAATCAGGAAGTAGGTCCTCATCGGATGCAGAACCGGACCATATGGGAACTGTGATGTCGGAAGTCCAGCCCCCAGAACTGAGAAATAAGTTTCTGTTGTTTATAAGCCACCCAGTTTATTATAGTTTATTATAGCAGCCTGAGCTAAGACAAATGTGGAGAATATGGGTAATCATTTAGCCAAAGTACAGTCTCGTAAAAATGAGAGAATTCACACGGGAGCAAAGCCTTATGAGTGGGTGAATGCCACAGTTCCTTTAGGCAGTCATCTGTCTTCATTCCACACTTCAGAGTTCACACTGCAGAAAGGCTATAAAATAACAGAGAATGTGATATTTCCTTGCTTAGTGTAATTACACTGGAGGTGAACCTTGCTGAAGAAGTCATATACCTGAATTGAACTTTGTTCATCTGAATGTCCATAGTAGGGTGACTTCACATAAGTTCCAGCTATTTGGGAAACTTTCAGAAGCTGCATTGTGCTTTCCAACTTGCCCAGAGTCCTTGCTAACTTTGTCACTGCCAGTTTCTGTGGCAGAAGTCATTTTACCTCTGCTACGTGGCAGGGCCCCACAATGTAGATCAGTTAGCACCCCAACATGCTTAGTGAAGCTGACCTCTGCTCTCTCATTTGTTGATTCAAATGGGTAACTGGAACCCCCAGGGGATCCTCATTCCACTCTCTCTAAGTTAGGGCATAGATGTGACCTGTTGTTGGCCCAGAGTACCTGATCTGAGTTCTGGGTGGTGTCTTGCAGAGAAAGACTACATCTCTTAGGGATGTTGTTGGTCTCTTTTGATTCTTCTGATAAATCTTTGCAGCTTCCAAGTCACCAACCCAGGAATTTTGTGCCACACGTTGCTCTGGTTTATGCAGTAATAAAGTCCTTTTTGTTTAATTACCTTTAACCTTGGATGTTCTGTTCATTCTGGGGCATGGTTTGAAAGCAGAATTGGGCTCTACCAGCATGAAAGGGATGAACAAATTTCACTGGATCTGTATCAAACCAATACACAACAATCTACACCGATTTCAAATCACACACTAATTAATCTGAAGGGCCTAATACCCTGTACAAATCTAAATTCACAAAAATATCAGTCCACCCTGTGATTCTAAATCGCTTGCAATCTTAATCACAGTCATATTTCGTGGGTATTTTTTCCTTTGACACACATTCTTTTACACCATAGTTTAATGATCAGTTTAAGCAACCATATTCCTAATATTAGCAAAATCATAGTAAAGAACTCTAACATGATGCCATATTCAATCACCAAAAGACCAGAAATTAAGTTTCTTAAACCACTCGATTAAGCTTCCTTGGCAATTGCGTTTCCGTGTAAAAGCCATTTTATAAAGCCCCAGGGGTTACAAGCTTGCGTAGCATCGTTAGGCACATGCTTGGTTGCCATTACATGAGAATTTAAAGCTGTCGTAACTTTAGGAAAAGCATATTTTTGTTCTCTTTAATTCCTGCAAAGTTATTTTGACTTTATTAGTCTCATCTTCTAGATGTTCTTTTACTTGTCTTAGGTTTTCTAATGTATGATTTACATTTATTAAATTAACTTTAGAAGGTTCAATGTGGAATATTCTTCAGTTATTTTAATGGTTCCTTAATCTTCTATTGACCTCAAATAATATCTTTTTCCATCTTTTGTTACATTCATTACCTGTTCTATTTTTACACATCCCATCGTGTTGTGTTCCTTATTTTCCCTTGACCCTGATAGGTTAGGGTAAGGTTTGGCTTAGAGCATACTACCATGGTCCAGTTTCCCATATTGTGTGTAAGTGGTTGAGGAGGCAGCAAGGCCATAATCATGGGTAGTTGAGCCGTGAACATACAGGTATATTCAAAGGTCTAGCAGTAATAAGGGTATTTTGATTCCATTCCACTAACATATCCTTAGGAACATGTTTTCCTTCGATCATAAGGGGGCTTTCTGTGGCCTGTAGACTCCACTCTCCCTTTTGATATTGGGGAAGCACACAATTGTGGTAACCAGTTGTCATGTTTCCTCTTTAAGTGCCAATATTTTAATTTCACAGTTGCCCAAGGAATCACAGCCATTAGGGTGTGTGGTATCTACTCTAGTTCTGGTTGGGGTGTCTGTTATCTCAGGCAACCAGTATTGCCCTGAGATTATAGCTGTTCTAAGAGTGTTCCACATATCAACCAATCTTAACTGCAATAATTGACAATCTACACTTAGAGAAACATCTTTTATGTTGTTTTTTAGTATTTCGTTATTCTTAGCATTTCCTCCAACTGCTTTATGTAGTTTTCCATTGTTCTGTTTATTTTCATGTGAAAATCATGTATGTTTTATAATATATTGTTAATTTCATCCATCTGTGTACCCAGTGATGACAAAGCAGCCATTGCATGTGTGTTCAATTGAGATTGGTTTCAAAGTTTTTAAAATTTAATGTGATTTGATCAATTTGGAATTGAGAAAAAGCTGTCATTGCTCCTCCAGGTAAACTTCCTACCAGTCTAACAAGGAATTGTAGGGGTTCCCTTCCTTTCAGCCAATCTGTTTTTGGCATAGCTTTTAAATTGGGCATAAACAAAGATAGATAAAACTGAGCACAGGGCCGGCCCGGTGGCTCAAGCGGTTAAGTGCACGCGCTCCGCTGTGGCGGCCCGGGGTTCACCGGTTTGGATCCCGGGGGCGCACTGACACACTGCTTGTCGAGCCACGCTGTGGCAGCGTCCCATATAAAGTGGAGGAAGATGGGCACGGATGTTAGCTCAGGGCCAATCTTCCTCAGCAAAAAGAGGAGGATTGGCATTGGATGTTAGCTCAGGGCTGATCTTCCTCACAAAAAAAAAAAAAAAAAACAGCACAATTTGGGGATCTATATCTGGTTTGGAAATCTTATATATTAAGTTTCAAGATATAGGCTACTTTGGGGGTTCCAATGTGACCATGAGAGGTTTTATTAACATAGGTTCCCATGTTCTTGGGGTCGAAATCTGTGTGGTGTGAGATATAAGCCTGATGTATACCCCCAAGGATAATGATATGTGTTATATGCACATTTTCCTGTGTGTCCTCTATATACCTTACCAGGTGTCCCTGTTCTTTTAAAGTCTGGACATAGTGTCAGTGGGTCTATTGTTAATTTCTAATAGGTGAATATGGATTAAACAGTGTAAGTTGGTGTAGTAAATGATCAATTTTTGGCCTATTTACATTAAAAGATATAATTGCCCAGTTGTCCTCATGTGGATGTGCTATGAGAGTGTCTATTCCTAAAGTATCATCATTACCCATGGCTGAAACTACATAGTATTCCATGTGGTAAACTCACCTCTAAGTTTTTAATGGCTTTTCTAGGTTATCCCAAATTTTTTAAGTTTTTACTTCTCATTCTTGGGTTCCACCAGTTGTGTGTTCTGTACCATAAATAGAGCATGATTTTACTCTAATCAGCAATGTTTGATATATTATTAGTATAATAAAGTTATTTACACTGATATGACCATGCTCCTGCTCTCCATCTAGTGGTATTTATATCTACATTATTTTTTATGCATCCCAGTGCATATATTGGTTCTGAGATTCCTGTCTCATCACTAAAGGAGCAATCTGTCTGTGGTTCATACTTGCAGTATCTGTATGTCATGTCATGTGTTCTGTTCAAGAACATGTTGTAAGTCAAATATATGAGGAGCTGGCCCAGTGGCGCAGCTGTTAAGTTTTTGTGTTCCGCTTCAGTGGCCCGGGGTTCGCCAGTTCGGATCCTGGGCATGGCCTTACTCACCGCTCATCAAGCTATGCTGAGGTGGCGTCCCACATAGAAGAACTAGAAGGACCTACAATTAGGATATACTACTATGTACTCGGGGCCTTGGAGAGAAGAAAGAGAAAAAGAGGAAGATTGGGAACAGATATTCACTCAGGGCCAATCATACTAAAAAAAAAAAGATGGCCTAGTATATGAGTGGCCATAAGATTTGGAATGGGTCTTGGTTGTGGGTACCCAAGTGCCCATTCTGTATATTCTGGAGCTGTTTTGGTGCAATAGTATCTTAAAATGCTTCCTAGATCAGGAATCAGATCTGGATTGTTTGCAGTGACCCCTTGAAATGTGTCTAGTGCTGCTCCTAATTTAGAAAGATAAGATAAGGGAAGAGGACGAAAGCCAGTACCTGGTTGTATTGGTATATATGCTGGGTTATAATACCAAGAGACAGTTAGTAGTTCAGGCCAGTCTTCATCCTCTGAGTCGGTGTCTAATAGCGGATGGTGTTCAGGATCCTCGGTGATTCTTATGGAGATTGAAGTGGAGGTTTCTACTGCTTCATCAGCTTCCCTCAGTGTTCAGTTTTTCTGCTGATCAAAGGTTTCCCAGTGAGTAGGTGGTGCTGATAGTGAAGGGTAGGGTGAAGAGGTTGGGCTTGGTGATGCTGGTGAGTCCTCAGTTGCAATAAGGTGACCAGGATTGGTGTTCTGTGGAGGAAGTAAAGGATGTCACAGATGGTGGAGTTGTATCTGGATCAGAAGGGTGGCATTCCAATTTGGGACGGTGGCACAACTGCTGTTGCTGGAGCTGTTGGAGGAGTATTGACAACTGCATTGAGTGTGGTATCCAGTAGTGAGCAAAACAGTATGGCCAGGAGGCAGCATGTCACACTGACCCACTTAGCAATATTTATAGGGTTCAAGATGCATAGTGGATTCATGCCTGCAAAAAATAAGGATAGTGCCCTATAAATTTCAAATTCTTTCTTGCTGTTCTTGCCACTCAAGGAAATCTATAGTTATTATGGCCATTACTGCCAATGTTGCCTCGAGCATAATCACCCTGCATCATGCTATGCTAAATATTAGACATCTAGTAATGATGTCATACAAAACTGTGTCTACTCTTAGGTGTCCTGCCATCATATAAAGAGTAAATATCCGTGTTTTTAGTGTCAGCATCGAGTGTTGATACCATGGAAGATGATGTTATTCATGCCTGAAAATTTT